CACATTCCACTTTCATACATGGATATGGAACTTCTGTAGGTTTCAGGAGGAACAAGACACCAGCAGTTCAGAGCAGATCACTGCAGACATGGTGGGTTGTTGTGCAAAGACCTGGAATTTGTAGAATATGCATATTGCAAGGACATGCTACTGCTAAGAGTAAGCTCTGAGAATGGAAGAGGAATCTCCAGATTACTATTTCAGAAACAAGTATTTTAATTATTTTTCTTTGGAGACGTGTTTATCCTTTGGGATGTCAAAGGATTAATATGATCACATAGAAGCACTACAGAAATGAAAACTGGAGTACAACTAAATTACTTGGACTTAATTTAACCTGTAGCATTGCACGCATAGAGAATATTAATTATGAATTATGCCTGAGCCTGGAGAATCAAGAAGGAACATGGGGCCTTGGAAAAAGAGTTTGCCAGTTACTGTAGGTCATAAGAACGAAACGTTGCCAAAAATGTTAGTCAATGTTTTAATTGCCTGTAGAGGTGGTTTCAGGACCAAAAAGGCCTGTTTATACATTTCCAGCAGTGCTTTATCTCAGCCCAGCGCTGACACAGGTTTGCTGATGGCAGATGTGAGCCCACATCTGCTGGCAGACTGATAATTTTCTGGTGTTCTGCCAACACTTCTTTAATTAACCAAAGTGTCAAAGACTTGTTAAAAACCTATGCTTTTTGAATGTTTCCCAAAAGCTAAAAGGCAAGTAGGGTGGTTTCTTTGTTTTACAGTCTTAGCTGTACCAGCAGCTCTTTTTAAGAAAGCTCTAATGGTACATGGTAAAGAGAAGTACTGTATGTTGCTGTCCCTCAGAATACTTTCATACCTGCATATTTCAGAAGAAATTGAGGCATAAATAAAGCTGCTGTTCCTGAAGTACGAAGTCACTATCAACAGCAGGCTCAGTGCATTTCAAGAAATTTGGCCTGAGGTCCCAAAACACGAAGGGATACTTCTAAAATGATTTATGTTAAGCACTGCCTGGCTCATCGCTGCAGTGCTGTGCTGCTGCTGCTGAGTTCACATTCTGAAAGTTCAGGAGGAAAAGTTGGCTGAGGTGTCGTGGTTGTTGAAAATGCAGCAGTGGAAGCTCTGAAAGCACCTTTACCTTGGGTGAAAATGTCCAGCACTTTGAAGGTACTTTGCTGAATGCAGTCCTACATGTTCAATTTACAGCATTGGTTTGTCCAAGCAGCATATTTTAAGTAGGAGAAACATAATTTAAAATTATGGATTCTAGATGCTGTATCTAATTTTACAGGGCACAACTGAAAGAACAATAATTAAAAAAACCCTCTCCCACCAGAGAGTATGTATTTCTAGACAACTTATATCTGCCTCTACACAAAGGAATCTGAGATTTATCTTAGTAGATGCAAAATATATTTTTTGCTGTTCTGACCTCCACAGACGTGGGTTAAAAAGGAGATTTTGTTTCTTTTTCTGCAAACATTCAAAGAGGTCATCCTGTTTTCTGTATCCCAACATCTATGAAAAACTTTAGATGACTCCCTCAAAAATCACAAGACAAAGTTTTTGAGGCAAAAAATTAAATTCCGGATCTGTCATTAACAAAACACTGAAGGAATTTGACTTTGTTTACCAAAAAATTGTTTTCAAGTCCCTACCAGGCAGCACAACCCAAATGCCCTCATGTCACTGAGAGGGAACCGAGGGGGAGTCACACAGCAAGTTAAATATTTTAGCGAACTTAATTCCAAAAGTCTCTGGGAAATTTTGGAAAGAGATCTGGGTTGTTTAAATCCCCAGCACTCTGGCTTAGCCACAGGAACATTCTTCATCTGCAAACATGCCAACGTGCCTGCTTTTTACAGCCAGTTGCCCTGTGCCGGGCAGGGGCTCAGTGCCAAGCAGAGCCCAGCTGAGCCCAGCCCAGGCGGGACTGGATCCCACTGCAGCCCCTGGGGCTGGGGGTAAGCCCGGCTTTGGCCTCGGTCACCTTCCAGTTCTCCCAGCCCTGTGTGTGAGCTGGGAAGCAAATGATGAACTCTAGACATTGTAAACATGAGATTTCTTTGGCGTTGCCATCTTCTTCCCACAGGTGCTTGCTGCTGTATTTTAGAAGTTTTACAGTCAAGCTACATACGACAGAATTAGTAATTAAATAGAAGTGTAAAAACAGGTCTTGCTCTCAGGGAATAAATAGAAATGGTGCATCTGTGGAAACTCCCTTCCCCCCAGTGGCAGCTTCACTTTTGATTGTACAGGGTCATGCTTTTTCCTTTTAGTGATTTTCTGCCTTAAAGATGTGCTAAAAAGGCAGAGAGGCCAAGAGAAAATGCCCAGCACTCTTAGGTCTTCTGAGAAAGGCTCAAGGGTTTCATTTTCAGGGGGGCTGAGCAGCAGGCAGCATAAAACTGTCATTTCATTCAGCTATGCATTAAGAATTTAGGTGGAGTTAGTAAATGGTGCATAGATGTTAACTGCATGTAGAATATAATATAACACTTAAAACCTTGGTGATTCATAAATTGTAGTAATTTTGGCTACTTGTACTTCGTAGTTAACTCTTTCACAAAATACTTCAGAAGACATCTAAAAATAAAAATCATGATAATCTATATAAAGGATAAAGCAAAGTGTTTTTGCACACCAGGTCACTCTCTCAAATTTTGACTCAAAATTTTATATTGTAATTAAAACTTGATGAATGAAATAGAGAAGGGCAACTGAGTTGGGACTCCTAAAGTAGCAGGGGTGTTACTGAGTTAGCCTTTTCTTCTGATTTTGGCTTCATCCACGCAGTGTTTAGTGTATTTGTCAGTCCTTTGTTTTCCTTTAAAGCAATGGGGCCTCTGTCCTTTGGGCAACTGTCAGTAAGTTTAAAAGCAGAAATTGTAGCTTTATGAAAATGATCTTAGAAGGGATGGGTGTCACTATTTGTTGGCAACAGCCATGAATATTTTGATATTTTTATTCATACATTGCCTGCAGTTGGTATGAGCAGAGTGTACAGGAAATGGTTGATGAGCCAGAAATACTGGTACACAAGGGCATGAGCTCAAGGGTCAGAAAAGGAAAAACAAGAAACAACTAAACTTCACAATAGGCTTGGTAGCAACCATGTGCCAAAAAAAAGGGAAAAGTGTTCCAAACAGAAACCCTTCAGGCTGGGTTCTTGGCTGGTGCAAAGTGATGTTTGTTCTGCTGTGATTCAGTGTAGTGACCTTAATTTATGCCAGCTCAGGTTCTGTCCCTTCCCCTTTAGGATATGTGCAATAATGGGCTTCCATGAAAAATGCGAGTTTCCTCTCCTTGGTGCTGGTTGTGGCTGAATTACTGTGCTGCAATGCTGTGCCACACATGGAAGGATCTGCATTTCAGTTGTGGGAATAAAGCTTTGCTTTCTGCTTTTGGCAGTAGTAAGACTTTTGGTCACACCCTTCCAATGTAGTGGCTCATGGTCCTGTTTTCAAGGAAGGCTTTTTGTTTGGTTGGGTTGTTTTTTTTTTTATTAGAGGGTTTGTTGAGGAAAACACTATTTGCATGTACTGGGAGATCTCAGAAGGGTGGGCGAACAAAGCACAGATGGCTGCTTGGCCAGAAACAGTGTTTATTCTAGAAGATTTGTTACCATGATTCTAATAGAAGATAAAGTAGTCCCTGAACCTTCCCCCAAGGCATGTCTTTGGTACAGTTTATAGCCCACTTGAAAACCTTTGACTCTGACGTCTCTTTGATCCATTTACAAGCATCTTCTTACAGAGATGGTGGATACAAAGCAAGAACTCCTTGGGGACCTCTGCTGTGCTGGCTTTCCCTGCAAAGACAACCCATCTTTCCCACTGTACAAATATAGAAGAACTGACTTGCAGTTGCATCAAGAGCTGTTCTTACAGATTCTCTTGCTGTTCCCTGCAAAAACACAGTTATTTAGCCATGCTGCTTTCATAGAATATGGGCTCCAGCTTTCCCTTGAAATCTCTGTCATATAGAAAAAAATTCTGCTGTTCTAGCCCAGTCCTTCATGGGATTTCTTCTGTTCTTGAATAGTGTTTTTGGTAGTCATATTGATTATCTAAAGGATACCCAAAAATGCATCTGTGCCCAAAGCTTGCCTATTTCTCCAAGCACAGAAACTGTTCTAATTAACCCCCTGCCTTTTCTAGAAGTCTTTCTCCCCTTTGTGTGTGCCACACAGAGAGAAGGCTCCTGCTGTAACTGCAGTACTGTGAGGACACAGGCAGAACAAAGTAATTAAGTATTTTAAGTATTTAACTTGTATTTACTTTTGTAATCTGCTTCAAATGTAAACAAGGCTGGTGTGCCAAAGGCTTGTGTTGCAGGTGACCTCATAAAGGATGTTCCTTCCATCTGGAGAACTTGCCCTGCCTCAATACCTGTGTGCACACACGTGTGCTTGTATACAAGAAGCTCTTCCTACTCTTCAGGTGCAAGAACTCTGAAGTTAGGACTTGAAGGCACGAGTTAAAATGCAAAGTCATGCAATGACTGTAATACCAGCATGTGGAAATAATACAAGAGGAGAAGTGGTAATATGGTATTGAAGCATAGGATGAGAATGAGAAGCTGGTGTGGCCAGCTTTTAGTAAGTTAAGGAAGCTCGTATGTTAAGTGTTTCAACTCTGTTGAATCTGAGCCCAGAAAATGAATGATGAAAAATATGAGGCTGTTATGGAAAGGAAATAATTCTGATCTAATTTATTGACTTTATCTTGAAGTGTTGTCTTGTTGCCGAGGAAAATGACATCTCAATAAAAGCCTTACTTTTTTTTTTTTTAGAACTGTTGCTCCATTTACTCCACAAATTCATTTTCTTCTACAGGCACTTTCGATACTGTTACTTAAAAGCACACTATTTTAAAGACAAGGAGTCTCCTGGTATTTATATCATTCACCTGGATTAGAATTTTGCAGTGCCTTCATTAACCTTTTAAAGTTAATTAATAAGAAGGCAATAATAACTTTGCTGTTGATTATAATGTGACTTTTTTTTATCTAAACAGATGTGTCCTGAAAGCAGCAGAAATATTAGAGAGGTGCAATGTGCATCATACAATAACAAGCCATTTATGGGTCGATTTTATGAATGGGAACCTTTTGCAGAAGGTAAGGGAAGACAACTTGGTTTTGCATTATTATACAGATTGTGTTTTGGAAAACCAAATGTGATTTTTACTCAGTGAAAGCCATGAGGATTTGACTGTTTTGAGTCTTGCTCATTTTCCTCTATTTGTCTGCTACATTTATTCATGGGCAGACAATTAGATAATCTCACATCAGTATTTCTTATATTTTACAGGAATGAAAGCATATAAGTCCTACTTTGACTAGTATACCATCAGCTCAGTATAGTGGTGCAGCACTATTTCAGCTACTAGCCTGTTAACTATCTTCTTTTTTTCTGTATTACTTGTGATGACAAAGGCTCAGTATGGCTCCATTTCAGTAAATGGAGGGGGTTTTTTTATACCAGTTTAGCACCTGGCTTGTGGTGCTTATACATTCATATTAGGAGTCTCTGGCTGTCGAATTTGTATTTTCTAATGATATGGTTGACAGCTGGGATGGTGACTGTGTGAAGGATACCTGTGCTATGGACTTCCCCAGCTGCATGTTGGGCTGACTGTCTTGGAACACAAAGCAGCAGCAGCTCTAGTAGTGCTCTGCCACCCCTCTAGAGTCCTAATCCTTGGATGATAAAGTCTCAGTAAGAGAACATGGTTTGTGAAATACTTATTTATTTTGTTTGTCTCTTTGTACACAAGAGCTGAGCCCACTGCCTCAGATGAGGCAAATCATTAATTATTCAAATATGCTTCTGGATTCTGAGCAATTTAGTTTGTCTTTTTGTTTTAAATTAAATTTTTAATAGTTGTTTTTCACAAAACTCCAAAGACCAAAAAGGATTTATGCACAGAGAAACATCCACTGGCTGAGCTGTCTTTGTGATTCTGAGGCCATTCTGTGTCTCCTCCCAATGGAGGCACAGTCTCACTTGAAAATTTGAAAATACAGGATCTAGGCCCATCTACTTATCCTTGCTACATTTCAGAAGGCAAAGTGAAAGGAAGATTATTACCTGTATTTTTTAAGTGTCTCTTAAATACAGCTTTTACTGTCTTCTGTGTAAGTAGCTACGTGTAATACAATGCACACAATGAAGCAGGAGTAACGCCATGGCTTGCAATGTCTTACAGTCAGTTTGCAGGGATTTCTCTTTGCTGGAGGATGTCATTACTGCTCTGTGTATCTTTTACCTTCCTTCAGTCCTTAACTCATCATACTGAGTCCCCTTCCCAACTCCAAGAGGGATGCAAAGTAAGAGACTTGGAAAAGGAATGAGGAAGCTTCTTTCATAATGGAGGGGTTCTGCCTGGTTCTCACATTTTTATTCCTCTTCCCTTCATCCTGATTGGTTTGGAAGGAGACAATGGTGATTGTTAGTGGTGATTTTTTGCAGGTAATAAACTGAGGTCAGGTCTGTCCTGCAGTCTAGAGCCTGATACTAAGTTTTGAAGTGAAAGCAGTGGGAAGTACATCTGTGCAGGGCTGCAGTTGGGGGCATCAGCTGGAAGAGCATGTGCTGCTGCCACTGAATTGCTTCTGGGGACAGAGAACCCCTTGCTGGACTGCATTCTGTGGCTTCTGTCCTGTGCCTCATTACACAGAGGCAAAATGCCTGTTTTGCATCAATACCCTTCCAAAGATGTGCTGAAGGAAGTATTAGAAGTCATTGTTCATTTATTTTTCAGAGGACTCGAGAAATGTTGCAGAGTTGTGAAGTTCCTTTTTCCCTACTCAGAAATGGACATTTCTGTGGATGCTTAGCACACTGGCATGCTTTCTGTAGTTCCTTTAGATGAACAGCTTCGATCCACAATTGATGTTACCTATTTTTACATAGTCAGTGCAGATTAAGGTAGATTGGTATCTAACTCCTAGCTGATCTGATCATGTTTGTCTCTAATGTAGCTGTGCCTCAGTCCTCATTTTATCTGTTGCTGGTGTAGTGAACTCTTGCAGAGCTACACCCCTTTACCTCAAATTGGGAACATCAGTATATATTTACTATTTTTTTAGTTAAAGTCATGTTTGGCTTTGTGACGTTGCCCAAAAGGACGTTTCAGAGCTGTACAACTCTGGCACTTTGTACCATACATTTAGGCACAAAAAAGAGTTTGGTACCCCAGCAAGGACATGGCTGAGGGCGTGTTCTGCAGACACCAGGACTTCTACAAGGTGGCCCCAAAGACTTATGATGTATTAGCTTTGATGCATCCCTTTTCAAACTGCTGTTGACAGGACAGAGCCAATGCTGAACCATCTCAGCCCACCTCCATCTCCTTGCTTCCTACACAGCAGCTTAGACTCACTCTGTCTTGTGCCAGGAAAGATGAATCAGGGGATCTGAAACATGCCATGATCATTTCATTTTCCCTTGCTCTTAATGTTTATATTGGATCAATAAAGGCAGCTAAACTGTTATTTACAATCCTGTCCTGATGGTGAGTTTTGTAATTATTGTTATTTTTTAAAAATGCACATATTTTTATTTCTCCCTTGTTCAGATTGGTGCAGCTGCATTTCTGACCTGTTTTGTCTGCTGCTGCTCCAACACAAACTTTTGTCTTTATTAAGAAAGTCATACTAAAGGGACTATAAACTCTATGAACTTAGAGTATTTAATGAAAAAAACCTAGTTTGTGTTGGAGAACTAGTAGTTTATGATAACTCTAAGGGTGGGATTTGAGAGGAAGGGTACGGCTGTGATAGAGGGAAAACATCACAGTGACGTAACCATAAAACCTGTGAGGAAGTTTAAATCTACTGAACTAATAACTGATAATTGAACTCCTTAATTTGAACTCTTTCTTTTTTAATTGTGGTGAAAAATCCACAACCTTTTGATGGCTGGATGAAAAGAATCTGTTGAAAGGAGAAAACCTTTTGGATAGTTGGAAAGGGTAACTTGGAGGGGATCTGACCACAGGAGCCTCTCAGAGTGAAGAATTTGTTGAGAGAGGGGAGACAACTGCAGATTTTTTTTGTCAGAAATTCTGTATAAGGTTAAAGATGAAACAAAGTCCTTTCCAGGAGAATCTCTGTCTCATATTTCATTTTCAGGAGGATACCTGGATAATCTTAAGCATCCAGAATACATTGTCAAATACAGTATTTTCAAATCCACAACCTCAAAAAATCCTGGTTGACTCTTGCATTGAGTTCTGTTTGAAAATGTCCTCCAGGCACATGTAGCAGACAGTGTTTTGTGCAGCAGTCCCAGCCCTGGGTTCGTGTTCCAGCAGTTTAGTGTCCCCTGTGCAGGCACAGGGCCCTGCAGTGAGGGCACCGTGGCTCTGCTCTCTGCAGAGGCCCTTTCCCAGCCTGTGCTGCTCTGTGCAGTGGGGACCAGCCAGGGCAGCTGCTTTGCCCCCTTCCCTCACAGTTAAAGGAATGTAAACGTTTCATGGAGATGATTTTATTTGGTTTTATTTTTCCTCCGTTTTGTTATTCTAGAGCAAAATTTTAATAGGAAGTTTTCTAAAATGTGGGCTTGACCAAGCATTTCCTCCAAGTGATGTTTTTGTTTGCTTTTTGTTGTAAATCAGCTCTAGTTTCAGTGCTCTCCTTTCAGGTGAATGCACGTGTTTGCAGGGCAGGACACTTACTTACTGACACTGTAGTGACTGAGGGAATCCTGGCTGTTCCCAGTGTGTGTGATTTGTGTTAGAGCTCACTGGACATTTGCTATAAAGGGAATAAGGAGTGGGGACGTGGCTCAAGGATCATCATAGTGGTGTCTGTACAGATGATTTAGTTCCACTTGGTTGAGTCGAGATGTCTTTGGCTTAAAATACCGTACGTAGCCAGACGAGTTTCTAGGAACAGAGCCATGCTCAGATCCTGAGAGCTGTTCGAAGAGCTTGTTGCTGGCAGATGGTTGCTGGAAGCTGCAGGGCCGTGCAGGGTGTGTGGAGAGGCCCCAGCTCCTGCTCTCAGCCGGGGCTGGCGCGAGGGCAGTGCCTTCACCAGGGGTCGGGGTCAGGGTCAGCCAGCACAGGTGAGCTCTGGCACTGAGGAGGGTCCCTGGAAGGCCTGGCAGAGTTTGATTCCTTCTAATTGCCAGGTCTGGCTTCCTCTTATGACTTCTCTGTGTTTTTCTGTTTGATTGCTGAAGGACAGAAGTCATATGGAGCCCATACACCACATGGCTCTTTGGAGCAGCGTTCCAGTCAGGCTGAGTTTCAACTGGGATAAAAATTCCTGTAGCTGAAAGCAGCAGCAGCATATATAGAGTGGCACTAATGTCACTGCTGTATTTTCTGTGGGAGGAAAATTTGTCCCCAGTGTCCCTCAGAGCCATTGTTGCCAAACCCAGCTCCTGATGGCCACCGTAATGAGCGATTCAAAATCAGCTGGGGGGGAAGATGCTGACAGGCACCAGGTGTCAGCACCCAGCCTTGTGGCAGGCTGGGTGGGCCATTTCAGCTGTTTTCTCTTGAGATCTGTCAGAATCCAAACTCTGAATGAATGGGAGGATATTTGGTCTGCATGGTTTTCATGCTGGACTTCATGGTACTCTTTCTCTAAGATGACTTTCATGTCAGTGCTCCAGCCTGAAGCCTGTGTTGTGTTCAGAGGAGAACTCACTGTACAGGTTGATGCTGTAAAATAATTTATTATATTATTTTATTTTAAAATACCTTCTGATAAGTTGACTTTTAGCTATAGATGTCTGCCAGCTACAGCTGTGATGAATATAAGCTGTGAAGAAAATGAAATTCATAACTTCCACAGATGTCCAGCAAATAGTGCTACTTCAATACTTTGTGTCAGGTAAGAGGCATTTATGAGTTAGACTGAACTGGTTCTGGTGTTAGGATGGAGACTGAAGACTAATGCAGAGCTGCTACATTTATTGGTTTGTGTTTTTTCTTGCTGGATTTGTAGCAACAGATTTCACTGATTTTGAATGACAAAATAGCTTCTCCTAACAGATCAAAATGTAGTGGCCCAACTTAAGATGTTAAGGTGCTAAGAAACTTCTCCAGTCTGCTGGCAACTGATGACACTGAAGGCACTTAATGAGCTCTGATTAATATGAT